AAGACACTTCCAAAAAAGCCCTGATTCATCAGCATTATAAATTTGTTCTGGTGACAAATCTTCCGACATTATAAACTTTTCAAAATCACGTTGAAAATCGTCAGCTGCTTGTTGATCACCGCTCAGCTTTTCCCCATGAAGACCTATCTCCCTAATTCCATAACGTTTCTTAAAACGATGTAACCAACCGGACGACGCATCAAAATTTCCTTCCAGTCCTAACAAATCAAAGAAGACTTTTGCTTTAGCTGCAATGTTAGGACCGGATACAGGAGTGCCTTCACTTCGCTCTTGAGCTAGCCACTCCGCTAATGCCGAGTCAAGTTCACTGTACGTGGATTTCTTCATTGTTTTTCGTTTTTTCATTCCAGAAACACTGTTTGAAACTGTTGCAAAAGCCAATAACTTTTCTTTTTGCTTTAAAACATCTCGCACTGTTGTTTCCCCAATCCCGTATTGTAAACACATCTGCTTTCTTGATGCGCCATTTTCTATTTTAGAAATCATTTCTATTTTTTGTGGAATCGTTAACACAACCTTCTTTCGTTTTTCAGCCATTATTTATTTCAGGAACAAACTAATAATCTGCTAATAACCACCGACAAAGAAACACGACTGTAGACGGTGTGACAAGTCGAAACATGCTTTAAAATGAGTCGAAACACACTGCGGATAATCCGCTCGCGGATAATCGGGGCTCTACTATACTATTATATGATGTCATCAATATTGGCGAGGTGTTACTTCCTTTTACATCAATTCATTTAGACCATTCATTATTTCATCAACATTTAGGAAGAGAAAAGTAAGTAAGACTAATCCAGTGTTCATCTTGGGAGATATAAAGTGCATCCTCCTTAGTACACTTTACACTATTAACGCACTAATTTATCAAGTTACAAAGTAGTATCGTCGTAATCTCGACCAGATATAGTGCCTCTTATATTTTCAAAGATCTAACTATAAATCAGAATCAATGAACTCGATAATGTTATGTTATTATTTTGAATTTGAATTATTATCTTTAAAGAACAAAGCATTACTAGTCATACAGTAATGATACCATACATTTTGTTTAAGTGGACTCTATCAGATGTAAAGATTGGATCTTTTACAATCGATAGGAAGCAATGAATCAGTTTGGTTTGTAAGAGCGTCCGTTGCTCTATATATATTCGATTGTATGATAATCAGTTTGGTTTAATGTCAAATAAATAACGTGGTGGCATTTAATTCTGTAAACAATGGGCGATGAATTTTTTGTTTAAATAAATTGACGAAGACGATATCTTAATGACCATTTATTGTAACTAAGATTAGTCACAATTGTAATATAAATTTTAATTAAGAAAGTGAATCATCGAAAGAAAATCATCTCCATTAATACAAATTTTCTTCGAAGCGTTTGTGAGTAACGTTATTTAACACTAATGTTTGTATTTATGTGATTCAGAATCATTAAATATTTCCGCAAGTAAAAACCAATGTTCCCATTTATGCATGATATACACATTATTTATCTTCTAGGTAATTTCCAAGAATTACTGCTACCATGCACGTGTTTATAACGTTACTTGGACAAGACATTTTCTAAGCTGTATCTTATCGAGATTCAAGGTTTACACGAGCTCTCTAAATGATTACTTCGACCGTATCCGTTAAATTATTGCATTTTGCAATTTCGCCCTATTAAATAACACAATTCAATTTGTCTTTTTATATATTATAAGTTATAAGATTTCTCATATGGGATTATAACTCTTCGTTCTCTTCTTGCCTTGACATCTTTAAGCCTGTAAAAGTGTGAGTTTTTAGGTGACAATAAGTTCTCCGTTCAAAAAAGTTTTATTATATTTCGGTCTGGTGAGTTCGGTGCGAACGTTGTCCTAAATTCGTGGTTTGGTTCTTGTGAAATAAGCGGCTTACGGAGTGCAACAGGTAGAATGGGTCGAGCAATGAATTTAGTGTTTACGGTACAATCAATAATTTATTGTTGATGGCTTGCTCGTTTCGGTAACAGGATTTGCATTAGTCCTCGTTAATGGATGTGGGGATGTAAGAATTCA